CCACCTTGGTGAGTGAACACACGACGATTACCAAGCTTTCTTCCCACCATCAAACCCTTCCCGGTATCTTTCTTTCGATCCGAATCTACTGACTCTGCGTATCGAGAGGAAGTACTTCCTTCGAGGCTTCCTTGCCTATCACGTCGTGGGGGAGAAGAGTTCCTTGATTTGTCATGCGACTTCCCGAGGATCTTTTTGATGAACCCGCCGAGTCTGGGATGCTGTGAGTTCTGATCGGGGTCTCGGTATGCGCTACGCACACTGGGTGTTGGACTTGCCGACCTGCCCCCAAACGCAGTGGAGTCGTTCATGTCAGTCGCTGAATGCAGGTAGTTTTCATTAAACGGCCGCGGTCCAACGTCGTCTCTGCCAGTAGCAGGTCGGGGTTGGGACCATGCTAGATCGCCAGCAAGGGTGGGGTTCTCTTCTTTGCTTCGTGAGGAACGATGCCTGCCAGGTCCCCGTCTGCTTGGGTCCCTCTGCCCCGAAGGACCGCTTTCCGAGGTTGGAAGACGCTGACCACCGGGGCCGATGGGTACATGGCGCACTGGTGCCTCCCCATACTGCGGGATGTCATTAAAGCTCTGATAATCCCATGGAGTGATGTCACTGGAGGGCAACGGGTTATTTGCCCGTGACTTTTGGGAACGTTGCGAGGCGTTGGACCCCTCGGGTGTATTGCGTGAGCCATCTGAGTTCGCCCTCTCTCGCGCCTTCAACTGGTCGACTGGTCCCCCACGCCTGCTTGGTGGGTTCTGGGAGCCATCGTCATCCTCCCCAGGCGCATGATAGTCATCTCCAAGTAAGCCTTTCAAATGCTTCTTTCGGAATTTTTGACTAATACTAGATCTAGAGCCCTGGCTACTGACCGTGGTTGCACTTGCAGCAGATGGCCGGCGATGTTCCCCATGGGATTCAAACTCAGCGGGTTCGCTCGCAATTGTGCGTCCGGTCGCAGGACGAAATGTGGTTGACGCAGGCGAAGCTTCATGTTCAGAGTAATCATGATAGAAAGTACCGCTAGCATCGGGCTGACTACTGCTGGGGACTGTGGACCACGGGGCAATTGACTCGATCTCGTCGGAGTCGGCGCGAGATGAGCGAAGGGGCGGAGGTCGGGGACTCGAGACAGATGATTGAGACGGGTTATCTCGGTTGTTTGGAATTATCAAAGCCTCGCGGTGATTGCTAAAGCCAGCGGGTTTGCGTTGCTCGGTGGGAGAAATATTGGGGGAATTCCATGACCACATGGAACTTCCCCAATCAATCCTCGGAGGTTTTGAGGAGTCGGGCCTGGCAAAAAAAATAAAGAATTCTTAGCGCCTCTTCTTTTTGAGCTTGGATCCAACGCGCCATGACCGCGTAGAGAGTCAGCAGGTCATTTGGAGAACAGAAGCTTACTTGGGGTCCATGTTCAAGGAACTGGGAAACGTGTCGGCATTGTGGCCTCCCGTAAAGGCTTCATCTCCATCTCGAGAGTAGCTCTCAGAGTGTCGCACGGTATCCTGCGACCTCCAACTATTTGCAGAGCTGTCCGAACCCTGACGGTTGTCCGGTTGGTTGGGGTCCCGCGCCGGCATGGCTGCGCTCAGACTCGGCCGAATGCCACGACGGCAACCCTGTTCAACTTGCAGCCAGCTTTACCTTGGGATATGGTAATATTTCAGAACTGCCCAGCATTAAAAAAACCGATGGTTATCGGATGGTGTGGGTGACCGGGGGAGCTGCAACGTGTGGTTGTCAATTCTGCTGTCTCGGGTGCTAGCGCCACGTTGTGGAGGCCGACCCGGCGACGCGGTAGAGAGTATAATAGCTGGAATACACTCCGTAGGACATCCAATTTGAATTGCGGACGAGGAAAATCAGTGAGGTGGCACCAAGGGCGCGAGGAGTTGGGAGAGCTAGCGGGGGCGTGAGGAAAGCGGAGGACGGCGTATGAAAAGCTGAGGCAGACCGAGGCCGTAAGACTAGCGTCGGGCGCGAGTGTCAAAATGAGGCGTTATTTCATGAGGTCTTAGGAGGTGATTGCGATTAAGGGCAACCCGGGCGCATACTGGCAAGGCGTACGGGGTGATTATTGAGGTCCAGGGTTAATTGGGGGGGGAAGAAGGAGAGTGGGGATAGTCGTGACTCGTGACAAAGGCGGATCAACGTAATGACGATCGAGAGCAAAGCCAAGATCCCTATTAAAAAAATCAAAAAGGACCGAAGCTCGACATGAGATTCATGTAATAAGGGAGAGATGGAAGAATAACCCTGTGTGAGCTTCGGGTACTGGGCCGTCGGAAGTCATGAGGCTCTTAGCGCCAACAACTTCGCTTGAGAGAATACCTTGGGAACATCTTCACCCTAAACTAGTAACTAGATTACTTGAAGACTAGGTGCATGTAGTTGAAACTATTCTTTGTATTCCCTTCCATTTCTTTATTTCTTCCCTTGTTCACCTCTTCTCTTTGAGGTCTTTTTTATAGATACTATATAACCTTTCTCATTGGGTATGGTCCGTGATGCTGTCCGTGCTAGGCTGTGGAGCTCCCCCGTCTTTATTCTGCTTGACTTTTACAGTCTTCTGTTCTATTTTTTCGCATTTTCTCGCAAATAGCTTGTACAAAGTAACCAAAATCTCTGGAAAGCATACAAGTGTGGCATACTTTCATTGCATAGGCCTCTACGGGGTATAGTCGAGTCATTAGACCGTCATCCCCGCCCCGGGGTGATTCCACTCTCGAGGTTATCGAGGCTGTAACAAACAATCCTTGTAGCATTTCCACGGTTTTACTCATATTTTCATTTTATCTTGGCCTCACTAGAAGGTGATAGCTTGGATTGCCAAGAAGTGCATTGCAACCGTTGCACGGCTCATTTTCCCTTCGTTGCAATCTATCCGGCCTGTGATATATCCATTCCAGCTATAAGATATGGAGTACTTTGGATAGGATAATTTTACGAAACAAAACCCATCGATTATGATATTATGGTACACAGAGCTTCAGTAGTATAAATAATAGCCCTGCCCTTAGAACAGCCCTGAGATACAGGTAGGCTAGATCAAAACCAGTTCGGGTAACCTCGATCGCGCAACGAATGAAGATGAAGCACGCTTTTTTTCCCTTGGAAATATCTAGATATCAAATACGCTCTTAGGGTATATTGCTAGTCGTAAACGATAGCCCTAGACATACATTATATCTCCTGGGTGTGCTCTCTACGCTCTAAGCCAGTTCCTAGACAAGACCATTCATCTACATCTTGCTATTCTAGTAACAGCGGAATGTCGAAAGTGTGTCCATGCGGTCATGACACTACCTTAGCATAATCTTCGAGCTCATACTCGGTATGAATGTAAGAGTCTAGCAATGTAATTTAAGTAGGATAGCCTAGCTTCCTAACAGTTTCATGATTCAACACACTAAAAGGTGGGTCTAGCAATCCGCTGGAGACCGCTATTCCACGGCACCTGCAGATCAAGACGAGTGGAGCAGCATGATTTTTCCGTGCCCATTGTCGCTTATTCAAAGTCGAAATGGTTAACTGACAGTGTTACAAACCCGCGTCGAATCACTCGGAACTTTATATGTTAACACCACACCTGATCTAGAACCTAAGATATAGCTAGACCTAACTCGATATTTGCACGAGCCTCGGTTGTGGAATTGGTGTTGATTTCATGTCGGTTTGAAGAGTAGTAGTCATAGTCTTTTCGACAGGACTGTGCCCACAGAAAAGCCGGCAATTAGGTCAAACATTGTTAGAATTTCGGATGAGAATATTGAAATCTATTCAGCAACGTTGCGAGTAGCTGAAAGCATAGAATTGATTGCGTAAAAAAACCTAGAAAGCTCATCAACAACTCTCACCGCAAGAAGTTTGCGTCCTAAAGATAGCCCTATACTCCGACCATCCTGATTACAGTAAGTTCAAACGGCATCTCTTATGGCCCACGGTCTTATGTACCAGTAGTCTTTCGCTTTTGTGAAGATTTTTCCTTCTTCTTCCGGTTTTCATACTTAGCCAAAGAAAAAAGTCATTAGCGAAACATAATAGGACTCATTGGTCTATGTTTTTCCCGTGCCCAACGGATCGCCCTTGCATCGATCGCCACTGAGATCGGTGGCTTTATGTCGACCAAGATCTAGGTCAGCAAAGAGTGCCCATTAAGTCAAAGTTACAGGTTGGTCGTTCAAGTCATATCATTCATCAGGCCGCTAGAACTAATGAAAGATGGCTGCCCAATGGTAGGTAGCCCTGGCCCGAACATTGGAATCACGACTATTGATTAGTATTAGCACATATTTGTTTCGGATAGGAGACAAGGGCTCCGTATGGAGGCGGATTATGAATCACTGTCATGCAGAGAAAATCTTCAACATGAGATCACATCTCTAATAATAGGCAAGAGTAAATTCGAGAGGCTGGGATTGTGGGTCCTAATATACGTGTGTCCCCTACCGCCTGTTGTTTTGCTTGGGCCTTGCCGCTCTTTCAGGAGACTATTCTCATCGAATGGATATATATGTTATAAGTATGGAGTGCGGACCGTACCCCGTACGTATTCTCGATCGAAATACCCAATCGAATATGTTTGTCACACAAATAGTCATTGTACATGCAGTGCACACTAGAACTGTTGCACATTGGCATCTGAGCTGCACACCCGTCGAATGTACGGGGGACTACATAGAATGACTCCATGTAAACTCCATGGAGACAACGTGGCGAAGCTCTCGGTAGCTGGTACAATCTCGATCCGGGGATGGATGTGATTGGCCCAATGACAGCCGGGACCCACATATCGACCGAAAGGGAAGGCACGGAAACAGAGGAGGCTGGCACCTGCTCAGATTGTCTTAAGACCGTCGGGGTACTCCCTTCACTTGGAAATCTCCTTTTCGCCCTTCTTCCTTCCTCTGTCACCCATCTCGTATCAACTCCAACAACTCATCTTCATTATTGCATAATAGTCAACGATTACTTATAGTTTATACTCGACTTGGCCCACCATGCGGTTCTTTCTTGGTGCGGCTTTAGGCCTGATCTCTTCCACGCTGGTCGTGGCCCAGACTTATACGGATTGCAATCCGACCAAGAAAAGTGAGGCTCATAATTTCCGTTGTGTCAGCAGGTCACTAACAGCTAGTAGCATGTCCCGCTGATCCTGCCTTTGGCCAATCTGACAAGACGTTCGATTTCACAAGTGGTGCATCGGATGCTTTCAAGTCCACTGGATCCGTCACATATGACTCAACGAATGGTGCCACCTTCACTATTTCGAAGCAGGGTGATGGCCCGCTGATTCAGTCCGGCTGGTACATCATGTTCGGCCGCGTGGAATGCACTATCAAGGCAGCAGCAGGCACGGGAATCGTGAGCAGTGCAGTTCTGCAGTCCGACGATTTAGACGAAATTGACTGGGAGTGGCTGGGCGGAAACAACGCTCAAGTGCAAACCAATTACTTCGGCAAAGGAGACACCACTTCATATAGCCGTGGCGCCTACCACGATAATGCCGGAAACCATGATGAATTTCACACTTTCTCCATCGACTGGACCAGCACCCAGATTGTGTGGGCGATTGATGGCAAGACTGTCCGTGTTCTCACACCCGAGACGGCAGACACCAACCAGTATCCACAGAGCCCGATGATGATCAAGGTCGGTGTGTGGGCTGGCGGTGATTCAAACAATGCCCAGGGCACAATTGGTGAGTGGGGCTGTCCTGAAAATTACTTGGATCGTGCTTGCTAACAGCTTGTGTTTGTGCAGACTGGGCTGGTGGTGAAACAGACTATACCCAAGGCCCCTTCAAAATGTACCTGAAGTCAATGACCGTGACGGATTACTCCACCGGAACTTCGTACAAATATGGTGACACAAGTGGCTCATGGGAGTCAATTGTTGCAGAAGGAGGCAAAGTCAATGGCAACAAAGCCGCTGAGCCCACGTCGACCGAGTCCGCACCTTTAATTACTGCGACCGTCGACAGCGTCCCAGTTCCCTGGAGTGGAACCCACAAAGAAACCACAAGCTGGGTAACCCCAAATGTTTGGCCCTGGGTAGCGAGCGACTCTCCTTCGGCCTCGTCGACAGGATCCCAGTATGACTGGGAGTCTGGTTCCGGTCAAAACAAGCCACCAGGTGGAGACTCAATGAGTGAGCAATCCCCCGAATCCTTTCTGATTAGATTCGTCCGTTAATATCGAATCTTTCCCCCACAGTCTACCTTCCGCTTTATGTCAGCAGCATTGCCTTTTTATTCGGTTGCCTTTTCCCGCTTTGGCGTTGAGATTTCGGGACCACACCAGCTCCTGATATGCAGGGATCTTGTGCGCTCTTTTGAGTGTGTTATTTTATTGGGTTGAACGCTTCAGCGTTTGTATTATTATTGATGACTTCATTGGACCCGGCGTTGGTTTATATTTTTATTGGACATGACACATGAGCCATGACTTCAACGGCTAACGAAACAGCCGCAGCATTGGGGTGGTTAGAGGCAGCCTCTTTTCTTGTTTACACTTTACTTTACCATTCATAGATGCCAAAATGGGAGTACCCGATTGATGAGACACGCGTGCTCTACATACATTCATAGCTTCTTGGACTACCTATAACTAGTCCTTTTGTTAACACGCCCTATTGCTCCATATATACAAACAGTTAAAATTCTCACCTATGTGGGAATCATTATATGTACGATTTCAAAAAGGATAAAGACGCAACTTACGTCTATAACAGGATCTTGCTGGTACAATAGGCATAGTCTGAGATTTCTGTCCCAAAATAGCAACGGGGCTTTGAGTTTGGTACGGAGTACACTCTATCTTCATAGGATCATCACGATGAGGGGTTGAAACAGAAAAGTAAAATACAAATAATCTCCATCATGAGATAGACAACTGTAAGCATTTCAAACAAACATTAGGCATGGACCAGGGTCTCACGGAAATCAAAGAAACAAAAAGAGATACGGAGTAAGAGAAGACTTACTCCCTACGTATCAGAACAGGAACCGGAGACAAATGTGATCCATGGTTCTTTCACGGAGCCATCTGTGAGATTGGAGGAAATTCCTGATGAGAGATCTATCCTTTACAACATCATCACTTTAGTTTCATTTGTGACTATATCATTCCTTTCTACTTCTTCCTTCGCAATATCAGTTCTGACTCCTTTCCAACATGAGCCATAAAATTGTGACTTTCAGTGGCCATCGAGCTTTAGCTCTTCCAGAGATAGTAAGTGAAATCCTCGTTTGGATCAAATACACATCGAATGGCCCACGTTGGGTTTTGAATTGCGCCTTGGTGAATAAGACGTGGTTCCATGAAGCGATACGTATATTATGGGGCTCCATGGAAATATCAGGTGGGATGCACCTCGACGAGGTCATGGTAAAAGTCTCCCCGGACCGACGCCAGATGTATGCCGACCTTATGAAGGTTGCAACTGTGAAAACATACAGCCAGAAGACTGAAGCAGTGGTACAACCAGCTCTAGAAAATTTGGTCTTCCCGAATTTACACACTTTGTACCTTGCTCTAGTCTTTCGCGGCTGGAGCACCGAAGAGAGTATCCGTGCCCCAGCTTTAAATATGCCAAATCTCCGGACACTTTATATCGAACGTTGGAATGCGCCCATCCAACTATTTCCTCACCACTGGGACTATCTTACTGGTCGGATTCCGGTTTGTTTCAATAGCTATCCTTCTGCTGTAGGATATAACTAACCGCTGCTTGTGTACGTCTAGAAGCTTTTCCCAAGGTTGTTGAATCTTCGAGTTGAGATACCAGCCATTATTTATATTGCGGGCTTTGAGGCTCTATCTGAAAAGTTGCCAAACTTGGAATCTATCGAGTTTGAGAAAATCATGGCCCTGTCGGAGGTGGATGAGGATGAGGATTTATTTAGTGATTATTCGGATGGGGAGGACACAGAGGAGGACACAGAGGAGGACACGGATGAGAATTCGGGTGAGGATTCGGATGAGGAGGATTCGAATCACGAGAATATGGATACGGAGGAAGCGACCTCAGAGTCCCCCTACAGTGGGCTTACCCACAGTGAGCACACATACAGCGCGGATACCTCCAGCGAGTACACCTACAGCGAGTCTATCTACAACGAGTACATCCTTGGCAATGATGCGGATGACGAAAACGGGGATGACGGGGATATTACTAGCGAATATGCATACAGCGAGGATATGGGTGAGGAGTAAGGAAGCTAATGCAGCCTCTTATATCTACATTCTCTCAACAATTGTTGTATCGTGTTTGCGAGAGATTGTACAGTACTTTCGCTTGAGTTCAACTGGACAGTATAGCGCAATTTGACCTAGTTTGCTTTCTGATAGGTCTAACATGGATGGAGAGGTCAAGTGTATGGTGGGTGCGATGGGTAAGAAGTGCAGCGGTACGGTTTTTCAGAGAGCCTAGATAATATTAGCCATCTAAAACTTTCTTCTTTGTCACTTCTTTTAATCTGTTAGACTGACATATGTCGAGCACCCCACCTGGGCAATGCTTTCCCTAAAATATCTCGTTTGTGTGAGTCAAGACCTAGAATATATCGCAATTGATGATCGTGACAAGCTAAATGATCTACTAATTCTGACTGCCCTAATATATCTCCAGTCATCGAAATATCTTCCAATTTACTAGATACATGAGTGATAATATGGACTTCGTCTGCAGGGCGCATCTAACAAGGAGGGTCTTTCTCACGAGTCGCCGCTTTCTTTCGAACTTGATTCGAGATTGAGTATCCTATACTCCGACATGCCAATATCTAGCCCCAACGTGATTATTAGAGTTGTTATATCTTCCTATCGATACGTTGTAAATATCTAACATGTAAAAAAGTAGACTGTTGTATGTTGTAGTATGAATTAAGGAGAGGAAAGTGGGTCCATCGTGATTGATAATGTCAATTGACCAATAGAAGCCTTCAATATACCTGAGTATTTATGGCTCCGTCGATCGCCAACGTCTTATGTCATCTAACCGCCTCCGCCGCTGGGAATCCACTTGATTTTTCGATTATTCAACATCCCGATGCCTCGGCTAGTCATATAATCATCCCATCGCCTCTGCATTTGTCATGCTTCTTACAAACTCCAAGTGCTGCACCATTTCAATAGAAACCGAGATACGATCTTCTCATATCTAATTCCGGACAATGGGCGATGACACAGCTAAACCGAGTGGTCGCAAACGCGGCCGTCCGCGAACTGTGACCGATGATCAAGAAGTACCAGAGGTGGGTCATATCCCAACGCTCCAAGCCAAGCGCATATGTATGCTTATAATCATTAATTTATAGAGACGTCGCAAACAACTCCGGCTCGCGCAGCAGGCATATCGCAAAAGAAAGGAGACCACGATCGGTAACCTCCAGAATCGCGTACACGAATTAGAAACCGGCATCGAGAATATCAGCCAGTCTTTCCTCTCCTTCAGTAGTCTTCTTATAGAAGAGCAACTTCTTTCACAATATCCACATATCGCATCGGCTCTTCAAACCATAACTCAGCAATGCGTGTCGCTTGCGAAGGCCGGGAGTGATGATCCGACTGAGGGAGCCCTCACCCTCGTTCGGGCCGCAAAAGACTCTCAAGCCACAAATAATAATTCAGCCGCATATTCAGAAGCTTCGACCGATGCCGAGGATATAATACGATCAGCCGCTATGGGCTGGCCCGGCCCTCCTACTCCACCATATCAAAGTCAATCTATCCTTCCATTCGACCTCGCCATGTCATCACCCACTGTTCAATTTCCTCATATCACTCCGCCATTATCGAACTCCCCTTCAACACTAGATCTCCTCTCTAGTAATATAGTGCCTGACAGGCAGTGGAATATCGCACAACGTCTAGTCCGAACTTGCTGTCAGGGCGGATATCGCCTTCTCATCGACAATCCAAACAGCCCCGCAGTCCCGCATATCTTCGGGTCTGTTCTGAGTCTGCCAGAACGCAATCGTATGATCTCAGGCTTTTCCGATGTCATTCAGGACAAGACCGGTGCCTTGACGGATCACAAGGCTAATGTGCTTCACGCCCTTCAGTCCAATATGAACACATTCACGAACGAACAACTCCAGGTCTCGTCTAAAATATGGCAAATCGCGCTCGAATCAGCTTCCGGTGAGTGGCTGGACGCCATCGGAGTGCAAGGATACCTGCGCGACAAGAGAGCGATCTTTGAGAACATGCCTGATTCCTCTGGCCGTCTTGAATACTCTGTCTCGCCATCAATTGATATGACGACCTTCATCAAATGTGAGTATTTGGGAACGGCATGTCTTGAAGCAGTCCACTAATGCCACTGTAGCCCTTGCAAAAGAAGCCATATGCGTTGGGAATGGACCGGCATTCCGACGACAGAGCGTTGAAAGGGCTCTTCGTCTGGCAACGATGAATGTGCCGTGGGATTTCGAGAATCTTTGTGATTTATAACACCATTTGTACCTGTAAAATATAATGCACGCCCCAACTTCCCAGAAGAATGTCCCACTCGTGCATCCAGTTGGTCACATTAGATCATCCTACCATGGTAGAGCAGTGGTCACTAGCACCCTCAAGTGCACGAGTCGGTCGCCAAGCGTGTCGTATGATAGCTGCGATGATAATATATGCCCCTTGTTGAAATTGGGCATTCCTGAGATTTCTAGCAAGAGGTCATGATCAGGAAGCCATCTATACCATTGAAGTTGGTCGTATCATCTCAGGAATCATGATACATATTGGTCTTCTCGTTTCTCTTCCTTGGTTCCTGGTTGATACGAAGTGAATTAGAAATGACCTAACCTACGGAGTATAGACTTATAGATTACCTTCTAGCACCTTCAAGCTCTTGGACCTTCAATCTACTCAACATAGTGCGAATGTTACAATTGTATTGGGATGAACTACTATAGAATGACTATTTTTTCGATCGCGGTCCCCAAAAACTACTATGGAATCGTGTTGAGCAATGAAAATTAGCATACTTATCTCATGCGCATCCTCCATCTCAGCTTTCCAAGCAATTTTCCACTTTTACGCCCTTCGGTGACATGTGGATCTCCGGTTAGCATCGCAGGAGGGGTCGTCTTCGCAGTCGTCATTGGCTCGGCGTGACTCACCTTAAAGGATCAGACCTCTCGATATTTGAAGCAGTGATAAAGTCATCACAGAGCCAACTTGAGTCATTGCGCCTCGGTTTTTGTGTTTAAATTCTGTTCTTCCCGTTGAAGTTGCGGTGTTCCGAACTTATCCGACTAGCATTTCTTGCATTCCCTCAACATTATGACCGCGACAACTCAATCAACTCCATTCGGCAAGCCGATGCTGAAGCACTGGCTGTTCGATCCTGCCTATAAGAACCTGAACCATGGGTCATTTGGTGCCCATCCGATTCCGGTTAAGGACGCACAGCGTGCCTTCATGGATCTCGCCGATGTGCGGCCAGATCCATACATCCGCCGATACCACGCGAAGTATCTAGACGAAGCTCGTGAGGCTGTCGCGAAGCTCCTCAACGCTCGGCGTGAGGAGTGCGTGTTTGTTAAAAATGCGACTACCGGCGTAGCGACGGTACTGTATAACTTGGATTTCCAACCGGGTGAGGCTCTTATTTACTTTGAGCCCGTCTACGGTGCTGTTGAGAAGGGTGTTATCTCGCTCCAAGAGCATAGCTCTCTGCAGCCCCGGAAAGTATCTTTCCAGTTCCCCATCACCGAAGACGAGCTAGAACGCCGTTTCCGCGAGGTGATTCGCCGAACTCGTGAAGAGGGACTGAAAGTCCGGGCCAGCGTCTTCGATGCCATCGTCAGCAATCCGGGTGTGCGCTTCCCTTTTGAACGGATTACTGCAATCTGCCGTGAAGAGGGTATTTTGAGCGTCATCGATGCTGCGCACGGCATTGGAAATATCCATCTCGATATGGAGAAGCTACAGCCTGACTTCCTGGTATCAAATTGTCACAAGTATGAACTATCCCCAGTATTCTATCCTTTCCAATAACTTCAGCAAAATTACAAATATTGACTCGGCTTCATAAAGATGGCTCTACACACCCCGCAGCTGTGCAGTCCTCTACGTTCCACGACGTAACCAGCATCTTATGCGCACCACCTTGCCAACATCTTGGGGATTTATCCCAGCCCCGGCTTCTCCCGCGATTAACGCCTCGGTGCTGCAGGACCCGAACGCTCCCGTGACAAAGACTGCCTTTGAGCAACTCTTCGAGTTCGTCGCCACCACTGATGACTCCGCGTACATTTGCGTCGCAGCAGCGTTGAAATTCCGCGCTGAAGTCTGCGGAGGCGAGGATGCTATTATTGCCTACACCCAACGTGTCGCAAATGAAGGCGCAGACGCTGTTGCTGCCGCTCTCGGTACCGATGTCTTGCAAGAACCTGATCTGAAGCCTGGACAGGAGAGCCGTATGCGCCAGTGTGCCATGACTACAGTCCGGTTGCCTATTGCTGTTGCTTCTGCCGGAAATGAGGAATCCTCCGACAAAACCGCTTTGGTTGTGTTGTCTGAGGAAGAAGCTCCTAAGGCAGCTGCTTGGATCCAGACGCAGTTGACGGACGAACACAACACTTTCCTGCCAGTCTTCCACCATGGCCCTTGGCTATGGACTCGTCTGAGTGGCCAGACTTACTTGGAGACAAGTGATTTTGAATCTGTTGGGGTTGTCTTGCGTGAGCTTTCTGAACGGGTTGCGAAGAAGGAGTTCAAGGCTTGATATTGTCTATATTTAGCATTGATTAAGTTGCAACAATTGCAACAATCACTAGAGACGTTCATAACCACGCTTATATTGCAGCCAGCAGTCATAATTAGGTCAAATCTAGGGTGGCGATACTGCCTACAACAGGTGTAGGAGTAGTCCTTTTTAGGGCTAGCCTTACAAGTTCAGACAGGGCAAATGTCGAGTGAACTAAAGATTCTTCAGACCAAATTAGGACAGAAAACAGGGACTGAAGATTATTGCGCCATCCAAGCATTGGTAGAATATGTTGCCTTTCTTTCGCCATATCACACCTTTGCGGGGTCTCCGGGTTCTTTAAATATCAATTCTCAAACCCCAAGGTCCTCTAAATTAATCTATTTGAAGTATACTGAAACCATCATGTCTGTCGCAAAGGAATTCGAAGCAGCCAATGCCAAATACGCCGCATCCTTCACCAAGGGCGACCTGCAGCTACCCCCACAGCGGTACGTCGATGACGCTCATTCTAACTCCAACTTTTACCCCGGTCCCCTGCAAAAGACACATCTGACTGTATTTCAGAAAGACAGCCGTGGTGGCTTGCATGGATGCGCGCCTCGGTCCGTATACTCCGCAGTACTTCTGACTTCTGATGGATGATACTCACACCTAAGTATCCTAAAGATCCCGCTCGCGCCCTCGGTCTTGAAGAAGGCGATGTCCATGTAATCCGCAATGCCGGCGGCAGAGCCACAGATGCACTGCGCAGCGTCATCATCTCGCAGCAGCTGCTTGGCACCCGCGAGATCGTTATCGTGCATCATGTACGCAACCCCTACAAACCAAGACTAAGCCTAGACCCTGGCTTGCATCTTGTCAACTTTTGGACCAATTGCTGATTACCTTTAGACAAACTGTGGAATGCTCACTTTTACCGACGAGGAACTCAAAGATAAGATCCGTGCGGATCTACACCAGAACGCCGATCATATTGCGTTTTTGGCTTTCAAGGATGTCGAGCAGAGTGTTCGGGATGACATTAAGATATTGAAGGATAGTCCTCTTGTCTTGGATGTTCCTATCACAGGCTATGTGTATGAAGTTGAGACTGGAAAGATTGTTCGGGTTAAAGAGAATTAGTGATTGACACAATCGACATTTTCTGACCTTCGATGCTAAGATATATACTAGCAGCAATCTATAAATGTGACCAAATTCCTGTGCTACTAGACCGAACCTAGGGCTATGCATGTATGAGATGAATCCTGGGTCATGTACAATTTTGGCAAGTATGTAGCATACCACAACTATACTTATGGCTTAAAAAGAGAAAGAGAGAGAGAGAGAGACAAAGAGTAGAGAAAAAGATATAACGCCCTCGGATGCTCCGACAATAAAAAGATCGCCAATGGCCAAGGAATCAGATCCCACACGAAAAATATACAAAGTGGTTATACTCTAGACGGACACCCTTTAGGCTGTCATGGCCTGCCAATCCTCAACAGGTGTTTATCGTCTTCTGGCTCCCTTGATCACCAGACTACCAACGATACCCGCGACGAGAGCCAAGCCACTAACAATCGCGACGCCTACCAGACCCTCCTTGGCGACTTTATCATCGATGAGCGACCCAAGGCTGGCAGCCTGGAGGTTTGCGGGCTCCTTCTCCAGGAGCAAATCGTTGTATCGGCGGGCTTCGCCGTAGTTCCCTAGCTTGAAGTTGCCGAGGGCTAGATAATAGAGGCATTCGCGTCGTCGCTCCGGAGCTCCACGGAAGATCTCTGAAAGCAAGCGAACGCCTTCTTGCTGTTCGGAACGGATGTTGGATTTGATCAGACCCTATAGTCAATGCCAACCCCGCATAGGCGGGGAACACCGGTCAGCGCGGGCACACCTGATCAGGACTGGATAAACGATACCCATGCGTAGTTGAACTTTGTCTGGATCCCGACATAGTCGCCTTCTTTCTCGTATTGGGCTCTCAGGACCTGTAGCTCCGCGGGTTTCAAGGGACTGTGTCGGTGATAGTCAAGTCAGTTCGGACGATTCCGATATTTTCTTTCGGAGTTTCCGCAGAAAACAAACCTTTCCGCATCAGCAGCGTCTGGAGTGACATAACAAGTCAGCAAGTCAGTCTTCAAACATCAGGCATCAGGCAATCGGTCGGAACCACCTACATGGAAGATTGGACATGGCGAGATATGCAGTTGGTGGTTAGGACGGAAGAATATTGATTAGAACGAAAGTTTCAACAATTTGATTGTAGTTTGTCGAAAGTAAGAGTCGTGGTCACGTTGGGCGTGAAGGCAAAAGCGAGGACGGAGAAATCACAGGCTCAACGTCACTTTGCGGAGGAGCAACATATGTGGCTGTGCTGTGGCTGTTGCTGCCGCAACAAACCCAAAACAACCGACTATCCCGACATCTGTATATTGTAACCACCGACACCATGTTGCTCGACGAGGACCCAGGAACTGTATGTGCTAATCTATTTGCTCTCATGATTTAGGCCTAAGAAATTCACTGACGCCTTCAGCTCATCCACCACACGATCGGCAACTTCAACATCCACCCCGATAAACAAGCCATCACACGCATCAATGACTCGCTCTCAACCCTCCAGCAATCGCGCGATCTGCGCATTCGCGAGGCCGAGTCGGCAATGCGAAAGCTTTCACGTCACTTGAATTCTCTATCTACGCAGCATGAAGAAGCCGTGGCCGTACACGACTCGGGCAAACACGCGGCGGAGATTGTAGAGTTGGACACCAAGAAGTTTCGCATTGCCAAAGCTGCATCGGAGCTAGAAATTGAAAGCGAGCGCCTGGAGAGCGAGCTGGAGATGCTTAAGGAAAGACTGGTCGACCTAGAGTCTCAGGGTCTCGAGGGCGACGAAACAACTCGGCGCGAGCGTGAGGCTGATGATGCGACAATGTTTGTGCCTGTGTCTCGGTCTTGGATTGATACTCTTGCTAATATCTATCTAGTCTGCGCCTCAAGATATTCCGTTCGCTTGGTGTTGATATCGAGCCCGATGAGGCGGGTAATTTCAACAGAGCGGTCATTCGCAATAGCCGCAAGGGCGATGTTCATGTCGTTAATATCGACCCGAAGTTCTCCCGCTTCTTCTACGCAAACTACTTCTGGTCAACGATGCAAGGATGATCATGCCGATCGATGGTTTGTGGGTGTCTGTGCTCTCTGGCGTTTTTTTTTTCTTTGGAGGCTGGAAGTCGTGTTTTTCAATCGCTGTTGGTGTTTCTATACCCTTGGATTATTTTCTGTCATGAGTGATACAATTCTTCTTATATATTTCAGCTCTATGGCTGCCTGGACATAGCATATTGTCGGGTAGTAGAGTGTTCACTCCGATGCCGGCTGCTGTTGTAGGCGCTCTTGTAAAGCTTGAATGACCTTCTTCCGGTCTGCATCCGATACGGTCCTATTAAGCAGTTGAGAAGAGACATCATAGGGGAGAACTCTTTCTGCAGCATCCAGAAGCTCCCCCTTCTGGATTTCCGACAAGTCCATACCCCAGAATGCGACCCATTGCTCGGCGAACTCGACGAGGTTTTGCTCCACGCGGTCCATATCGGGGATATCACATCCATCCCAGGTCAATATCATCTCTTTTGTAATCGAGCCAGACTCGGCGTCTTCTGTGGTTCCATATCGTGTTTCCACACCCAGAGGGCCAATCCCAAGTTCCTCTGCACGGGCATTCCAAAGTGCCTGCTTCAAGGTTCCGTCCCGTTCAATCGTCATCCAGAACAACGGATACGTGCTCCTAGCTAATGTATCACGAACACCCTTGGTTGCCTCGCGCGGGCTCACCAGCACGCCAACCGTCTCGCCCGTGCGCCACCCGACAGGTGCCTGGCGGAAGGTTCCTTCTAGCTCGCGGACGACATTAGGGCCCACTTTGGCCTTCAGTGATTTGCATTGTACCAGTACACGGAGTGCACGTTCTCGTTCCCGCTCCGGGAGGTGCCAAGTGCCAACGAGATCGATGCCGGCATCGTCACGACCGCCGATGCGGTCGAGGCTTAGCGCATAACGACGTAGGGTTTTGAGAACGGTATACTCGTAGTGTGTGCCGACATGTACCGAACTCGCCACCGGAAGAGAAATATGCTCGGCGTAAGAGAGAAATGTCGTCAAATCATTGTGGTGTTGCGAGGGCGGAGATGGGGCCGAGGGGAGTTTAAAGAGCCGGCGGGTGAACGGTGTCAGCTCATTATAGACTCTGGAGCTGGAAAAGCAACGACGGGCATCTTGTCTGACTCTCAAGGGAGAATATCCGGCAGCAAGGCCATGGTGCAGTCGCAACAGGCGCATTGAGTGATGTGAGAAAGACAAGCCCGCCTCACCGCATTAGAGCTTCTCTCCGCATTTGCTCCGCTTCTTTCAGGCATTCTGCCGATCTTTCTCAAGCTACTTCAAGCTTGTTTCATTTTCTTTTCGAGTCGCTACCATGGCTGACATTCTCACGCAGCTCCAGACTTGCCTGGATCAGGTAAAATGAATCGAGCAGAACGTACATTTAAACCCTTGCTCACTATACAAAATAGCTCGCAACACAATTCTACGCAACGCTTGGCTATCTCACAACATACCACGACAATGCCCCTACAACACCACCGCCTAATGTCCCCGACGCAGCACCAGCCTTAGCCAAGATGGCCAAGAACTCGTCCTCGCCACCGGTCCCAGCAGCCGTCGCAAACAAAGTGGGGGGTGCAGCCGTCGTTGCTGGAAATGCATCACCCCCGCTTGCACCCCCTCAACAACCCGGAGCTGCACCGGGGACAGCACCAGAAGGTGGAGATCCCAACCTTCCTCCCGCGCCGGACTCACCCAGCACATTTGCGAGTCGGCAGCGGGAACTTGCGCGCGATCTGATTATCAAGGAACAGCAGATCGAGTACCTTATCTCTGTGCTTCCTGGAATTGGCGCTTCCGAGGCCGAGCAAGAGAGCAGAATCCGGGAACTGGAGACAGAGCTCAGAGACGTTGAGAAAGAGCGCGCTGCGAAAGTGCGGGAGTTGAGAAAGTTGCGGACTCGGCTGGAGGATGTTCTCGGTGCTGTCGCGGTGGGTATCCATGGAGATGGGTACTCTCAGAATTGATCATGTGTTCTTAGGATATATGGTTTATGTGCACTTTGGGAGTTATACGAGACAGATAGGACTGGCGTGGGGTTTCATTATTTTTGCTATATTCTCGGCGCTATGTGAGGGGGGGGGGGGGTTTTAAACCAGGCCAGGGGGGTAATTGAAAGAAGACAAATCGGTGGTGCACGGTTTTTCACCGGAAGGGGAGGCGCTTTGGATAACCCCCCCCCCCCCCCCCCCCCCCCCCCCCCCCCCCCCCCCCCCCCCCCCCCCCCCCCCCCCCCCCCCCCCCCCCCCCCCCCTTTTACCGATTGCACAGACACATGAATAACTCACGAATACCACATGATAATACCATTTCAATGTTATATACAAGTCATTTTGTAGGGATTGGGCCTGGCAATCCACCAGGTAACAGCACCTGCTGCCACCCTCTTAGCCCATATTAAAATAGACCCCCTGAATACTGTTCATCGCTTGATGCTTTATCACCTAAGATTTCTTAGTCCAAAAAAGTACTTAAATAAGCGCCGTGCCCATGATCTTTCTTCACAGCACACACCTTCCAGGTTTTCTCTCCTCTTTTCTCTTAATAGAAAGAACTGTCAACACTGTCTCGTCTCATTAAGATGCATTATCATTCTATGGCAGAGCGCTGGGCATTCGATGGCCACCCTGAATTTCTATATATCGTTGTCATATTCCAGGATGGCGACGACTAGTTTTGGATACATGTGTCCGATATAGTCGGGCGCCCAGAGGATCTACTCTCCATTATCGATCAATCCCGCCTCGAGAAGATGGTCTCACACAATGCCTCGACTTTGCCAAGCCGGACGTCTACATCAAGCAGCCCCGGCTCACTGGCTACGACGACTCAGCATCACTCGGCCTAGACCTACTCCAACAAGCACGAATCTGTGAGGTTTTGATGAAAATTCCACATGAGAACGTCGCCCGCTATCTTGGCTGCGTGGTAAAGGCCGGCCGGATTACTGGGCTTTGCTTCTAGAAGTATGAGGAGATTCTTGATGGCTGCCTTAGGGACGGACGCTCGGTCAACCAGGAAATTTGTCTCCAATACGTCAAGGCCGGCATCTATCATCTTCATGCCCTTGGTCTTGTCCATAACGATCCTCACCTACGTAACGTTATGTTTAGGTACCGAGACCATGATAGGCTAGTGATTATCGACTTCGATTCGTGTGCCGTTCAGGGAAATTTACTCCCTGAAAAGCGAGCCGCATTGCCTGAAGGTATCTGCACCGCGGAGTTTGAGAATGATGATTTTGCTTTGAACAAACTCCGGGAAGATCTTGATACAATGGTGAGAAGTGGGGGAAAAGTGATGGTTTGGTCAAAATCATGAACACATACTCCCTGAATGGCCTCAAGGTGCTGATTATGTATCTTGGCCAAGTAGGCGTCATTGGGAAGTGTGATTTTTTACTTTTCTTATGTTGCTGAAAGAAATGGGAGGTACCAAATCGAGCACAAGAGCTTGGAGAAACAATGAGTATGAACGGGAGGAAGAGGTATACATCTTTCTCAAGTACTTCTAGGTAAATTCAACGGAGAAGTCTTGCACGCGAGTTTCGAAAACAGCATGCCTGTCGATGTGTCCGCTGCGATTGAAAAAAAAGGAGGGAGAAGGCTCCTGATTTTACAGGGTTTATGCCTGAATATGCCTTAGTAGGATAAAAAAGTCTCGTTCGTAACATTGCACTATTCTGAGGTCTAGACGGGAAATTCTTCTATTCATATCTCGCCGTACGAAGAAGAGTATACGCGATCCCACTCTATTCAGAAATCATATCCGAGTCCTACACCCCCTTGGAAGTCAAATTCAAGTATGCAGAATCTAATGCATGTGAATATGCTGAAGCCAATAAATGGCATATGCAGAAAAGAAAATGATTTCTATGGTTAAAACAACAAACCCGTGTATAAACGTGCTTGGATGTTGTAAAAAGAAAAACATAGAAAGAAAACGCCCGGTGTATGATCATAAGGAGAATCAAAGATGTAATAATGAATGCTAACGCCTTCTCCTTTTCCGGGTATCACAAAACGAAACCAGCGAGCCACTAGCATTAGGGCAGAAATAAAAATCAAAAAAGATCACAAAAAGATCAAATGGAAGCAGAAAAAGAAACCGCAGACGTATATGGAGAACCGAAGAACATGAAAAGAATGCGAGCTAAGGCAAGAAAACAAAAGATAAGAGAAGAGAATTTACTTGAAAAGATTGCGGTATTCACGCATGCGAGCCTCTTGGGTCTCGCGCTTGTCCCGCTTGACGCGGTTCAAGCTCGTGTCAGCCATCTCCTGCTTCTTTTTAGCAAGCTCCATTATCTTCTCCTCAATGCTGCCCCTCATCACGAATTGGAAGGTTTGCACGGGGCGAGTTTGGCCAAGGCGATGAACACGGTCAATCGCTTGAGCAACGGCAGCTGGGTTGTACTGCGGCTCCATGATGAAGATGCGCGAGGCAGAAGTCAAATTGAGGGCGACACCGCCGGCACCAATGGTTGTCAAAAGAACTTTGATATTGTCATTGTTGGCAAATTCCTCGAGGGCCTTTGTGCGTGCTGCAAGAGTCATAGTACCATCAAGTCGGGTAAACCCGTCAAGCCCGTTGTTTTGCAAGGCAATCTCAATGAGATCCAGGTGCGAGGTCCATCCGGAAAACACAACACTCTTGATAGGTGACTCGCCTTCAAGCTTCTTGCTGTCTTCAACACTTTGCTTGAGATAGTTGACCAATGCAGTGGTTTTGGTGTGCGGGCCTTCGTATTCACCCAAATTCTTGCCCAGCTTCCGGGTTTGCCGCTCACTTTCCTTTTGGGCCTCGTATTCTTCAAAGCCAGCAGGCGTGATGGTCGAGTATTTCAAGTTGATCCAGCCTTCGCACCTCGGGCAACGCGTCTCAGTCTCGGGATGCGAATCGTAGGTTTGTTTCCAGCCAGAGAAGCAACCGGGGCAGAAGATATCGAAACATGGTAGGACAATAGCCATCGGAGCGTCACGGTCGACAGCTCCCATTGGATTCAAAGGTTCATCGAGTTCTCGATTACAATTGCCACATCGGGGGACCGAAGCTTGCTGCATTAGCGCGAACATCTCATATGCCTTCTTGTCTATGGCTGCCGGGGTGTCCTCCGGTTTGTTCTCCTCCAAGTCAATTGCATCGTTAACAGATAATCCCTTGACTCTCTCCCGGTCTGTAATATCAAGAAGCTCTTTCCCGTGTGCACTGACTTGGCGGAGAATCATCATGGCCTTCAAAACATGGTGATACATCCGGCCACCTATCTTGCGTTTGTCCTGACCAGCAATGACACTCATCATCACATTTGATTCCGCGCGGAAGAACTCATGCAATTGCTGTTCTTGCTCACTGAAATCTAGTGTGATGATATTGTCTTCCCTGGGTGGTAGATTGATTTTGTCCTTGACTCTGCGCAAGGTGAATGAATCTACCAGAACTCGCAGCCTCGCAAGTACATTGGGATCACCATTTTTGACCGGGTTGGATACATGTTGGGAAAATTGGCTTCGTTGGTCGTAAGGAGCAATCCGTAAAAACTTGGTCACGGACAGGAGATCTTCCATGCGGTTTTGGATTGGGGTTCCGGTAACCGACCACCGACGCTCAGAGTGGAGCCCAAGGATCGCCTTGGTCTGTGCCGCATTTTGTTCTCTGATGATATGAGCTTCGTCAAGAACGATTCGGAACATGTTCATTTTTGTTAAAGGACTGAGTTTTCCACTTTTGGCACCACGCCCCGAGATCTCGCTGAGAATGGTACTGTATGTCGTGATAATAATATCAAATTCGGAAAGCGCCTTGAAATCAGTGATGCGCGATGGGCCGTGGAAGACATAGTAGCTGATGGAGTTTGGCTTCAGATGGTCTTTGATCTGTGTAACCCAGTTGCTCACTGCACTCAACGGGACAACTAATAGTGTTGTTCGTGTGTTGCGAATTCCCGGAGCTCGGCGAACAAGAACGGGATCAGGAGCCATATCGGTCCATTCTTGAGCTAACCCAAGCGATGAGGTGATCAACGAAAGAATACTCAGAGTCTTACCCAGGCCCATCATATCAGCCAACAACCCACCTAGGGCCTCCTCGGGCTTTTGCCCTGAAATCATACCAGTAATGATCTCGCGGTATTGGGTCCTCCCGTTGGGCGCAAGTTCCATTCGCCACAAGGAATT